TGTTTGCGTATTTATTGATGATATGTGTACACATGGCTCGAATTGTTGTCTTTGTAAGGCCACCCTGATTCCTCTTCGGGGTTGAGAAGGGCAGGATATAAGTGTGGCAAATAAATAAATAAATAAACAAACAAACAAACAAATAAAATATACTACCTTCATATTCTGATGAGTTTAAAATGCAACTCTGTGAGAAGTTTATGACTCAGTGCAAGATGTAAATACACAATCATAGAATCATAGAGTACAATCAAAGCATCCCTGACAGATGGCCATGCAACTTCTGCTGAACAGCTTCCAAAGAAGGAGCTTACACTACACTCTGAGGCAGACGGTTCCACTGCTGAATATCACTTGCAGTCAGAAAGTTCTTCCTAATGGCCAGGTGGAATCTGCTTTCCTGAAATTGAACCCACTGCTCTGAGTCCTAGTCTCCAGGGTAGCAGAAAATATGCCTGCTCCCTCTTCCTCATGACTGTAACAAAGAACGCTCATTGTCCTTTGGTATACCTGAGACAGATGCCTCACTTCTTTTTCTAGTGACAGTGACTAGAAAAATGATTGCAGAATCTCCCTAACCAAGTTATGATGGCAACATCCATTCTGGCTGTCCATTTCCAGCCTGAGAAAATTTCCCCACTTTGCTATTCAGTAATTCCCCACCACTTTCCCATATAGTTTCTCTCTCGTTACAGAATTCTAAGAATGACTTTTCCCAAAATGAAAATCAGGTGTTCCTGGATTGTATGTATGTATTTATTCAATTTCTTCTTTTTTTAAAAAAAGGTCTTTATTTATTTATTTGCCCTATTTATACCCCGCCTTTCTCTACCCCGATGGGGACTCAAAGCAGCTGACATATAGGCAATTATTTAATGCCTTAAAACACATACAAATCCAGTAAAATTAAAATGAAATGAAAATTAATACATATAAAGTATTTAAAACATTTAAAAACATTCCATTCAATAGAAATCACACCGTCCATAATCGTAGTCCAAAGATGTTCCGTAGTCATTGCACATATTCCAAATCTGTTACTGCATTGCACTATTCCCATTGTTTGTGTACATCAAAAATATGGTTGTCATATAAGACATAATTCAAGAAAATTATCTGTGTCATTTTAAAAAATATCAGATAAAGCAACCAATACAGCTAAACATGCAACAAACAATAATAGTTTCAAAAGCAACAATTTTAAATGCTCAGGGTAACAAAAAATTGTTCAAACTACAAATCCCAGGATTCCATAGCACTGAGCCATGGCAGTTAAAGTAGATTTAAACTGCATTAATGTAGATACACCTTTGGTTTTTCTAGAATAACAAGTAGGCTGAAAGGCATTTGTAGCTTCACCTGACACTCATTCCACTTCTCTGCAAAAACCAATGACACCTCGAACAGGCTTCAATCAGAGAAATAATTCTTCAATGCATCAGTGCCTTCTGTTTTTAGAAATTTAGATCTCTTTCTTGGATTCAGCAAGGTGAATGCCTCTTAGAACTGATTAACAGATTCCCAAGGGGAGAAGAAGAGGGGTATTTGCATCTTCTTTGTTTCAGCATACTGAAGGAAAAGAAAGTTTCAAAGGACAAACACACACATGCAGGAATATATATTCTTGCTTTCCAGCAAGCTAGCCAACCTTATTTCATTCAGTTAGTGGGGATATTGGTGGTGAAAGGAAAGGAGGAGATGAAATTTCTACCCTTTCCTATCATGCAGCCGCAACAGACATTTTGTTTAGACCGGTATCACACTAGAGCTGAAAGAGTAGACAAAGAGTGTGCATCCCATCTGAAATCCGATGGCTGTCTCCTGCAAAATTCTGGGGCTTGTAGTTTAGGGAGGGCCTAGCAGAGAAGTCCTGGGTCTCACTAACTACATGCCCAACATCTGTGATGGGATTTTAGATGGAATGCTTACTCTGTGTAATATGATAACACAGTACCCTTGGCCAGTAATAAAATCAAATCCCTATCACTGACAGGACCAACAGGGCATCTGGGCTGGCATGCATTCTCTCCCAGGCCAAGTCAAATGGAAGATGGTCTCCTAAGGTTCATGCAGTGCAGAAGCAAAGAAGAAAATCAAACTGAACAAGCATGAGTTATCTGCCACCACATAGCTATAAGAATTGTAGCAGCAGAAAAGTCAATTCCTCTATCAATTCCCAGACTTCACATCTTCATCCAGTCTCAATTGCAAAGCAAATGCAAAGTAGTATCCAACAAAGATATCATACAAGATATCTCTTTCACTCCATTGGACAAGTGTTAACATTTCAGCAGGATGCTAAAAAGGACTCTAAAATCCACCTGCTAATCCGGATCACCGTAACGTGTTTTATTCTCTCTGCTTCGCCCTACAATTCTTTGATACAAGGATTTTAACAAATAAAATATGGGAAACATGAGTGTGGAGTAGAGTTGGAACTGCTTTGACCCTTTCTGAAAGTGAAAATCTGCTTGAGATCCAGAGGAATACTAGTACCACACCTAACTAACATACTCCCTGTGGAGTATTAGGTGATCTTTTTTCCTATCACAATGCTGTACCCATATATTCCAATCTATGTACAGGTAGTCCCCGAGTTACAAACACCCAACTTACAAATGACTCCTAGTTAAGAACAGGGTTAAGACAACAGAAAGTGAGAGAAATCTACCCCTTGGAAGGGAAGTTCACTCCTGAAAGAGTTATCATGGGGAAAAGGGGTCTAAACTGAAGTTTTATCACCAATCCTTGTATCTGCAAGAAGCCAAATTGGTCAAAATCTAATTATCACAGGGACAGAAAGGGAAGTGAAAGACATCCACCACGGTGGTGTTAACCCTTCTCTCTGCTATCCAAAGCTAAAATTTAAATATTTTGGCTGAAGTTACACTTAAAAATGTACCTGTTCTGACTTACAAACAAATTAAACTTAAGAACAAACCTATAGAACCTATGTTTCTAACTTGGAGACTGCCTGTACAATATTCTCATCCAAATATGCAGCAATTGCTGGCTAAGCTGTTATGATCTTTGCAAGGAAGAGGTCGATTGTCGTATTCAAAAGTGCTCCGTGAAAGCATGAGTGAGAAAATCCAAGTTGAATGGTCTATGACTAAGTCATGCCCAAAGAGCCAACTGTAGCTCCCGTGGAAAAGTGAGAGTTGATGGTAAAAAAAATTGCAGAAGTTTAGGATAATTCACTTATATGCAGATCCAGCAAAAATTCTCAATGGAAGAAATGTGTATTATGTTTATTTAATGCAACCTGCATTAGAGCCAACCTCTAATTTGCTCACCAAGAGAAAGCATTGTAGTCTCAAGTGAAACCTCTCTTAACAAGTAATCTTCAGCCAAAAAACTGAGGCGCATTCTCCAAAGAGAAGAGCCAATATTTTAGCAGCCCGAAGGGAAAAATCTAGAAAGCATGGATTTAGGAGTCCTGCCTCAGCATTTACTGGCCTCCCATCAGGATATTTCTAGTGAATTAAACACTGGAACGTATCCGCACATGACCCTACTTAGTGTTTTTCAAGTTGAGTGCCAAGTTAGAGAAAACTATCACCTCTCTTGTGTCGTCGTTTTAAGAGGTAAACATTTTGAGCCAACACACTGAGGTGAGAGAGCTTCTGGCACTCTAGATCAGCAGTTCCCAAACTTTTTGGTCACGACCTCTTCAGAATACTTTCCCCCCTGCAGAACCCTAACTCTGGCCCCAATCACAGTGAACCCACAAAGGTCTTCCTTCTTTTATCTACTCTGATGCCTGGGTGTTTTGTATAATGTAGTAGGTTTGGAAAAAGATTAACATTTCGTTTTTTTAAAATAGAAGTATTTGAACTGCAACAAGATCTTCTGTCATGGACTTTCAAAAAAGTTCTTTAAAAATACGTTAAAGACTTTTCATGGAACCCCTACAATGCTATTGCAAAACCCTAGGGATCCACAGAGAACAGTGGGGGAACTGCTGCTCTAGATGTTTAGGACTACTATTTCCTTAATTCTTTCTATGCTGGGCGGTGCTTCTGGGAAATAATGAATGCAAGAACAAAAGCACAGCCACCTTGGATTGGACAAGAGGTCTTTTTAGTCAATCACTCTATTCAATGGCCAATCTGATGCCTTGGGAAACACTCACATGAGGGCAATCCCTTTTGCTGTCTTTGAACCTGGATGTACTATACAGTTGTAGTAACTAGTAGACATTGACTAGTACATGCAAAGAACTGAGAATTCTTCTATATTCTGTACTACAAATAAAGTAGCTGTAGGTCTTGTAGATCAGGCAATAAAGCAGATGGATTTTTTTCCTCCATACATTTATTGCACATTCCTATAGGGATCCTGTTGAGCAGATGAACAATTGCTATTACTACTAGTAGTACTGGAAAGAAGGAGAAGGAAAAGGAGAAGACAACAACAACTCTGGTACAAGCTAGTAAAGGTGGTCCCAGTGGTGACTGGCACTGACAAAATTACCTTCTGTCAGCTGCAAAAGGCCATCCTACTCGGATATGCATGCATTATTCGCCGATACATCACATAGTCCAAGACACTTCGGAAGCGTCCGACGTGTGATCCAGTACAACAGCCAGCATAGTGATCTTGTTTGATGTACTAATTGTGTTGTGTATATAATAATAATAATAATAATAATAATAATAATAATAATAATAATAATAATTCACATATGTGTTCTTGGATGTATTCAGCATGTTGGGTGCTGGCTGTATCATTTACTGGCATGCTTTCAAGTTGTGGATTAATTCAAATTTTGTTCTGAATCTGCTTTTTCCTAACCCGAGCCACCATGGACACCTTTTCGGGTAGAAAATTGGGCTAGACATTAAATAAGTAAATAATTTGCTGCTGCATCTCCACTAGAAAGGTGAACCTGACCCCAGCTCTGTGTTTGACAGGGCTGTAATACTGTGTTATGGCCCTTCAAGAGTTAAATACAGTCAAATGAATAATGCATGATCAGGTTTAAAATATTTACATACTTCTGGGGCGATCGGCTTCCAACCTCAGCCTTTAGCCGCAAGTTCTCCCTCACAAGGCTCCCGTTTTCAAGCCTCAGTTTCTTATTTACCTATATGGAAGGAAGAAAATGAAAGCATAAAACCACCGCCAACACCACAGCCAATCTCAACATAATGTAACTAACATTTAAAAGGAAAATTGCTGGAGATTTTAAAGAAAGCACATATTTGAAATAGCAACAGTTAACCACGGCTGCTTTCCCTCCTCCCGCAACCCCGCTCCGCCAGACAGGGACACCACTTAAAAATTACCCTGGGAAATGGCTTGCAAAAACTGAAGAGAGAACAGGCATTTTTAATTTATATTCCCAAAATACGCCGCAAGGCTTCTATCCAGGGAAATAAACAGAGCCGTGTTAGCTCAGTCTGACAGTCATTAAGGGGGATATACTAATGGCAATTCCATGTTTCCCCCCTTTTCCTCCACTTGACTAAATACTTTAAATGCATTAACATTACAATGTGCAGGTATCAGCAAAATGAATGTTGAACAGCTTCTTTACTCTCCCAACTAGACTAAGCCTGCCCAGTGGCTTTTCAACTTTTTTTTTAAAGATAGATTAAAATGAATGCCAAGGAAATCTATGATGACAACTTCTTTGCAATTTCTTTTGCTTCCAGAATGTTGCTATTAATAAGCCTCTTGACCCTCTTCTCTCACTCAAGGAAGCAATCCCAATATTCCTTTCCCCATTAAACTCAAGAAATTCAGAAAGGACAATAATAAATCAAGAAAAATCCCTCATCTTCATCATGATGTCGAGTCTCTTCCAAAAGTGGAACTCAAGACAGCATACAATTTAAGTCAATTGTTCTGTTTCTTTGCTTAGAATTGGGTGTTCCCCCCAGACGTTGCTAGACTGCAACATCCATCAGCACAGCCACTGAGAAAGGATAATGGAGTCATTGGTGGGGCTACGTAAATAGCCTTGGGGAGCAGTGTATGGCCAGTGGACTCACATTCCTGGTTTAGACCAATGATTTGAAGGCTGCAAACAAGATGTCTGAATGCCCTATCTCCCAAAATCCCGTACATATGTCAGGGAATGTCTTCTTCTGAATGTGATCATTTTCTACATTGAAATCTCTTCCAGACCAGTATCACTGTGGTACACTGTGATCACAGTGGCACATTTTCCAGGGTTCAAGGAAAGCTGGACACTATTTACTGGCTCCTTCTTCACTGCCATACCATGTTCTTCTCAATGTGTTCATCTTTTACATCAAGATCTCTTCCTGACTGAGAATGATTCGACATGTCTCTTTCAGATGGATGCTATTTGCTGGCTCCTTCTCCACTGCCATGCCATGTTTTTGTAATACACCAGCGAATGCATACAATGTGTATAGAATATTTAATATTCATTCTTTAGAACTGCTTATGTTTTGTATACAAGTGTATGTTTTAGTGGCCTTGTAGTTGACTTTATCCCCTCTTCTCTAAATTATGTTTTTCTAATGATTTTCTCTTATAATATATGCTTTGTCATTGTGTGCTTTCAAAAGCATTTGATTTGATTTAGTTTGGTTTCTGATGGCTGCCTTTTCTTATTATTTGGGTTTTGGTTTATTCATAGCCACTATACCAGTGGTTCCCAACCTGTGGTCTGTTGACCACCAGTGGTCCACAAAAACTAAAATATGGTCTGCGGCCTCACCGTTACTATAACGTTCTTATGAAACCCTCTTTATAGTGCTGAGGCTTATTAAGTATGGTTTTCTGTGGGCAAGCAGATGGCGACTACTGGATGGTGTATATTCTGTATCAGAAACTAGAGCTGCTGTGGTCTATCCAATGCAATTTTCTGAATCAGCACCCCAAATAACCAAACCAAATCTAAAGTTGTCTGAAAATGCATTCGTAACCCTTTTGGTACTAATGTTGGAGAGTGGTCCCTGGTCAGAGTGGTCTCTGGTCAAGTAGTCCCTGGTCAAAAAAAGGTTGGGAACCACTGCACTATGCCATTATTGTCAACATTGGTGAATATTGGCTTAATGCATAAATAGAATTTTACCCATTTCCTACATCTTGGCGGAATAGAAGTATTACCACTTATATGAACTTGGCTCCAAAGCAGTATCTCTTCCAGAATCGATGTGTGTTGGGTCTTATTGTAAAGCTTGGGGAGACTAGAGTTCCCTAGAGCCCAAAAAATAACTCTTTCAAGTGCTGTCCCTGAACTATATGCATTTTTATATCAGCTCACACATGTTCAGTCAACCAATGACAGCAAGAATGTATGACCTTTCCCAGCCAACTGGACAACATTTACAAATCAGAAGGATGCCTATCAGATACATCTCATAGATTATTGGTGGAATGAAAGGACATGAAAAGACAGTCGAATACAATTAGCTGGACTAGCAAAAATGGTCTGTTGACAAAACAGGCAATTAGTGACACAAATAGTCAATGTTTTGCTACATGTTGTCCAGAAGGTGGAGGAGGGATCAACTGATATTGCGAGAGCACTGAAAATATTAATGAACATTTTGAGAGAGCTGTAATCCCCAAAAGCAAGTCTTTCAAGCTCAGTACTTAATCCTCAGAAACAGTGAAATTGTTGCTATCCAGAATAAGGAATATTATCTTGCTGGTGGAAAAAGTTGCACATTTTCCCAAAGACGCAGGTTGACAATCTTGGACATGCCTCCTTAATTCAGTTTTCACCTTAAAGGTTTAGACTCAGAGCTTCTGTGGTAGAGAATTTAGGGTCATGAGCCAGCTGCAGTTTTTCTTGGATAAGAATGACTTGGCTACCATGTCTCATGAGGTAACCTTAAAATTGGTTATCCCCATTTTCTACTTTTGGCCAAGGTCCCAGCTCAGTGGGGGGAAAGCGGGGGAGAGATACACAGATTCTCCAAAACCAAAATGATAAAATGACTCCTGACTCTCCATTCTCACCAAACTTTCTAAATCTCAGCATCTTAACAGGCAAAGAAAAAAAATATTACAGTTCAACTATTGAGGAGCAGAAGCCTTCAATGATCAACTGTAAATAATCAAGAGTAATCCACTGTTATCCAAAAAGTAACTTTTCCAAGCTCTTCTAAAGAGCATTTCTAAAGTGGGGCTGTCACTTATGCAGAAGCACTTTTGATTTCATTGAGTATTTGACTGTGGTCAAATAACAGAAGGTCAGTCGCCCAGCATCCCATCTTATTTTGAATTTCTGAAATATCCAGGAATTACTCAGAGGTCACACAGTCCTTTGCCCCCGTCTGTTCAATATGAAATATTTAAGACAGCTGCCCAATCAGCTTAGCAGACATTTATTACCTCGATTAACTTGTCCATGTCGTCCTTCACTTTCTCATACATATCATTCGCAGTCTGAAGCTTTTGAGTCCACGTTGCCAAAGTCTCAGGGTTGACTCTGTGCTCCTCAGATGAAAGCTCAGGATTTTCTGGGGTTTTGCCCGACACCTCCACCGTCAAGGGCTGCAGGACAGATTTTAGCTGGGACTCCAAACTGGAGTTTTTCTCTTTCACCTCTTCCATCTCTTTTTGCAAAGATTCAATTTCATCCTTCAGAATGCAAAGAAACCCATTAACAATTGTGTTGGAATGCGACTGCTTTTTTGTGATGGCAAAAGAAATATACACAACAACACTCCAAGTTGTTTGGAAACAGAGATAACTACATTTTTTAGTGACAGCCAAGGAACTGGATAGGAACTTAAAAAGATCAATCCCCCAATGAGTCAGAAATTTGAGGGATTTCCTACTTTTCACTTGCTAACTACCAACTCTAGTGGTAGTAAGCAAGTGAGATTGTGGTGGTATTTTGGGTGGGTGGGGAATTGTGTGTTTTAAAATGCATTTTAATTGTATTTTAACTGTATTTTTAACCTAACATACGCACTGTTTAATTGATTTTTTATTTTTTTATTTGCTTTGTTTTAAATTGATGTAAGTGTGTGACTGTCATCCATTTTGAGACCAGTTGGGGAGGAAATCAAGATATAATTAAAGTAAGTAAGTAAGTAAGTAAATAAACTTCCTCTCCAAAACACTTCAACAGCTGCTTTATTTTTAAAAGGATTTGGAAGGCAAACCTATCTTGACACTGCTCGTATTTATCATTTTCTGAGAAGCAGCAGACTTTTTGGTGACTTTGTTTGTTTGTTTTTGTAATTAGCAAATGGTTGTTTTCCTTTGGTGGTGTCACTTATTGCTGGTTTATTTGTGAATGTATGTTTTGGCAGTTCACTGACAAGCTTTCTTTGATTGAAGTGGAGCTACTTCACAAAAAGAATATTATTAATGATTCAAATTAACTGCATTTATAGCCATAAGTGGAACTCAAAGTGGATATGGTAGAAATCCTGTCTCCTGTCAATGGTTACTTATCACCCCTGGCAGGAGCCCCCAGTGGCACAATGGGTTAAACCCTTGTGCCAGCAGGATTGCTGACTGAAAGGTTAGTAGTTTGAATCCAGGGAGTGGGTTCAAACTACTTTGAACCCAGGGAGTGGGTTCAAACCACTTTGAACCCACTGGTTTGAATCCAGGGAGTGGGTTCAAATCCAGGGAGTGGGGTGAGCTCCCGTCTATCAGCTCCAGGTTCTCATGCAGGGACATGAGAGAAGCCTCTCACAGGATGGTAAAACATCTAGGCATCTCCTGGGAAACATTCTTGCAGACGCCAATTCTCTCACACCAGAAGCAACTTGCAGTTTCTCAAATTGATCCTGACACAGACTTTGTAATTATGGCAGGTGTTTCTCTTTCCCTGCTTAAAGAGCAGGCCAGTAGTTCTCAACCTGTGGGTCTCCAAATGCTTTGGCCTACAATTTGCAGAAATCCCAGCCAGTTTACTAGCTGTTACGATTTCTGAGAGTTGAAGGCCAAAACATCTGGGGACCCACAGGTTGAGAACCACTGGATTAGGATCTACTGGAAAGGTTGGCACCTCCTTGTCCCACCAGTGAGATCAATGCATGGTTTTGTTGGGACATGGGAGCCGGGGCACCCAAATTGTGGAATGCACTAACAATCATATCCATTTGTCAAGCTGAAACTTGGCTTTTCATAAAGGCCTTTGGGTCTCATGAACTCATCCCAAAAACGATTTCAAACTGTTTTAGATTATGAAAACCTATTTTTAGATGATTTAATTTTACTGTTTTAAACTGTGTGACTTGTTTTAATGTTTTATGTAAGCTTCCCTAAGAACTTTGATACAGGACAGGAGGAGCCAGTGTGACACAGTGGTTTGAGTGTTGGACTAGGATTCTGGAGAACGAGGTTCAAATCCTTGTATGAATGTCAAAGGCTTTCAAGGCTGGCATCACTGGGTTGCTGTGGGTTTTTCATCCCTGATGCATGTGAACATCAGGAGAGAATGCTACTGGAACATGGCCGTACAGCCCGAAAAACTCACAGCATCCCCGATAGTAGCTCACAGGCCAGAACAGGTCTCACATCAACATACTGAGCAGCAATGATTTAATATTTGGAAATTATTATATAATATTTCTGTGGAATGACCTACTGGAAGAGATTCAACAGCTAAATCAGCTATCAGTATTTAAGAGAAAAGTGAAGACTGATATCTTCTGGCAGGCCTAACCAGGCAATTTGTAATGCTGAATGTTAAAGTCACGCCCTGTATCTCCTGTATTTTAATCTTTGTTCTGTGTATTTTAATGTACATTTTATAGATATATGTTTTAATATATGTATTTTACTGAAAATTGTTATGATTATGAGTTTTTAAATTTGTTGTGCCCTGCCTTGAGCCATGAGCAGAGGCAGGTAAGAAATAAAATGTATTATTATTAGTATTATTCCTATTTTATGTTGTTATTCTGATAGATATTTTTCCATGTGTGTGCATGCATGCACACCTTCAGGTTTCCTGCCAATCTATGGGGGCCATATGAATTTCATGGGCATAGACAAGGAATACTCTGAGAAATTTTTGCCAGCTCCTTCCTTCAAAATATAGTCCATGGCACCTGCTATTCCTTGGCAATCTCTCATCCAGGGCTAACCCCTCTTAACTTCCAGACAGGTTTTGGTGCCTTTAGGATATTTTAGGCCTTTACTGCTTAATGTTATTTCTCATCCACAGTGAGCCATTTTGTCTGCTTACTGCTGTTTACTGCTTGTTTAATAACTTAATGTATTATTTATCAACAATGTAGTTGTATATTTCCTTATGTATACAGATGAATGACATGCTTGACTAGATCCAAGGCACATAAACCTGTTTGCATACAGGAACTCATTTTTCTCTCCCACCTAGTATGTGCAAGATAGTTTCAAACAATTCTCTACATTACGGTTGGGAATTGCACATCCCTCTGGTTGTTGAAGGACTGCTGGTCTCAGCACTCTACACCACTGGTAACGCTGGCTGGGGTTTCTGGGTGATATAATTTAACCACAGCGGGAGGGTCACATGATTGTATGCGTAATTTACATCAAACTGGCTTCCTAACATGTTTCCATCTTAGCAAACTGGTACTAATTTGAAACACAGTCAAGAAGTGCAGTCTCCTTGACAAAATCATTTAATCCTCTAAAAGTTGGAGGGAGGGATGAAGGAGAAAAAGAGGGACCATGTTCCAGGATAAACACCTTAACGTAATGAGATCCTGATGATTTGCCACCTTTTCCACCTTCACCTCTGCACACTTTCCTACCTCATATTCTTTGTGGAGTATCTCAAGCCTTGTCTTGCGGAGCTGTTTCCTGATTGCAGGGCTAAAGACTGGATTACTTTCGCTTGTTCCTCCTGCAGAGACATAAACAATTTTGTCTGCAAATGTTTGTTTCAAAAATCCAACATGGGCAAGCACATGTTTTTTTCCTTAATAAATACTTACCAAGGCAGCCATATCCTTTAGGCCACTCTCCTCCTAACCCCAGCTTCTGTTCTCTTTGCAGTGAAGTGAGTGTGTACAACCTGTGACTTCCCTGCAAGTCGTTAAAATGTGGAAGTACTGTATATACTAGAGTATAAGCTGAGTTTTCATTGGGAACAACTGTTGTGAGCTGACAGCTTTAGCTCTACCAATTGGGGTCTGCAGCTATTGACAGAAAATGACTTTTCCCCATCTATACAATGGGGCATAAAAAGCCTTGTATGTGTTCATTGGGGAAGGTTGTGTGAGAAAGGTTATCTTACCTAGAACCTCTTTGCAGGGATTTTCAGGCGTGATGGGGATTCTACAAGCAGGACACTGGCTGTTGTTCTTCAGCCACACTTCAATACAGACAGAGCAAAAGACATGATTGTTGGTGCAGATGACAGGCTGGCGTACCTTGCAAGAGAGAGAGAGAGAAAAAATCAGGATTAAAAGATTTTCTATCAGCCTTACAAAACAGCGACTGCTTTCCTGACTGAGGGGGGCTCATTTTGTTGTTGGCTTCGGAGTATATTTGGATATTATTGCCAGCCAGTGGAAACTCTGATTTATTGTGAATATCAGTTAGCACTTGCCACCCAACTTGCAGCAGAAGCAGATAAGCAACTCATGGACTTTAGTCCATGCTTTGTTGAGATTGATGGGAAAACCGAGAAGCTGCTGATGCAAATGCCTTTTTTCATCCTCTAAAAGTCCCTCCCTGAGAGAAGAATTTAGGTCCACAGTCCAGTTGTAGGAGACAGCCTGGTAGGGTGGTTTGAGTGATGGAGTACGACACTGAGAGACCAGAGATGAATCCTGCTCGGTATAGAAACCCAGTGAGTGACTTTGAGCAAATCACACTCTCTCAGCCTCAAAGGAAGGCAATGCCAACCCCCCACAAACATCTCTTGCCAAGAAACTCTTGTTACAGAATCACCTTAGGTTTGCCATTAGCTGGAAATGACAGGAAGGAGCACAACCACCACCATTTTTGTATTCACTGACATAGAATTGGGACTTCTCTTTCTACAATTTTACATGTCACCTAGGAGTTTCTAGCTTTTCAGAGTGCATGAGGAGGGGGCTAGAGGAAGGATGGAGACTGCAAATTCCGGTGAAGATAGTAGGACCTATTGAAAATCTTGATGGATTTTTTTTGCTTCTTTCTCTGGATTGCAGAGGCTGGGACAAACCAGACAATCAGCTGCTGTTAGGTGTGTTGTTGGAGGCTTTCATAGCCAGTTGTTGAAGGCTTTCATTGTTATGAGATTTCCGGACTGTATGACCATGTTCCAGAATTATTCTCTCCTGATGTTTTGCCCACCTCTGAGGATGCCTGCCACAGATGTGGGTGAAACATCAGGAGAGAATGCTTCTGGAAAATGGCCATACAGCCTGGGGAACTCAAATCAACCCAACTGCTGTTACATTGCAACCTCACAGAGGAAACACCAAGTCTTATTTAGACACTGCAAGTAGGAGAGACTGAGCAGAACAAACCTGCTGCTTGTTCATGGGAAGCTAAAGTCCCCAAGATCCCTGGCAGATTACTTTGCATCAAAGCAGATTACTCAGATCTAACAGTAATTCTTGATCCAACTTTTTGTTGCCCTGGCACAATGGATAAGAACAGCAGGTACATCCTCCATTCAAATCTAACCTTTTTCATGAACAAAATAGAACTGTTTTTTGAAAAGTATGTATTTAGCCTCCAACTGTAAGACTGGAAAGAAAAAAGGCCTGCGACTTCACCTTTCAGAGCTGTTGTGAGAGTCATGGACAAAACATAGATGAAACATTTTGAACTGTTTAAAATGTATACAAACATCATTATAGCAGCAATATAAATCCCATACAACATCTAGATGTTTGAAACTTCTGCTCCCAAAGTCCCACCTAGCATAGTTAAAGATAAGGAATTATGAGATTTGTAGCACCAACCATCTGGGGTGCTACAAAGATTCATTATTCATCATAGGAAGAAGATAAACAGTGCTTTGATGCAAAGCAAACATCTGAACGCTCCTTTAGGTACTGGGAAGATCTAGTTTCTGTCTATCAAAATTCGAGTAATAAGTTCATAAGTACTTTCAGGACGGTGCTGGATGCATCATCGTTTTTCTTACAGTGGCCTATCTCAACTTGGCTTCAAGGACTGGCATCAAGCTGAGGACTAGACCCTTGTAGAAAACAAATGATACCTAGGACTCTCTAGCCAGGAAATTAAAGACCTTTACTTCTTGGGAGGAGAGCAATGACCAATTTCGATAAAATAGTGAAGAGTAGAGACATCACACTGGCAACGAAGATCTGCACAGTTAAAGCAATGGTATTCCCTGTAGTAATCTATGGATGCGAGAGCTGGACCATAAGGAAAGGCTGAGCAAAGGAAGATAGATGCTTTTGAACTGTGGTGTTGGAGGAAAATTCTGAGAGTGCCTTGGACCGGAAGAAGATCCGACCAGTCCATACTTCAGGAAATAAAGCCTGACTGCTCATTGGAGGAAACGATAATAGAGGCAAAGATGAAGTATTTTGGCCACATAATGAGAAGACAGGAAAGCTTGGAGAAGACAATGATGATGGGGAAAATGGAAGGAAAAAGGAAGAGAGGCCAACCAAGGGCAAGACGGATGGTATCCTTGAAGTGATTGGCTTGACCTTGAAGGAGATGGGGGTGGTGACGGCCAACAAGGAGCTCCGGCATGGGTTGGTCCATGAGGTCACGAAGAGTCAGAAGTGACTGAATGAATAAACAACAACCGGACTCTTTAAATTTCAGGTTCAGTGCTGGGTGTATTTTGCATAATCCTAATTCCAAAAAGGTATAGTCACTAGCCTCAAAACTCAGCTTAATACTGAAAAATCCACAGGGCAAAACCTCAAAACACTTTGTCTTCTGCTTGAAAACAAAAGTGAGAAAAGTTTTCCTTGGGGGACAGAGAGGTGTTATCAACCCTGCTGAGATGTTCTGTGCATTGATACTTAGCTAGTCCGACACGCTGTATTGCATAAAAGGAAAAAACAGAAGCAGCTATACCGCAGAGGATTGGCTTTCCAGTGTTTATAACTTAGCAAGATACTTATGTATTTTCCTAAAGGACCAAACAGTTTACTGAGATAGGTTTCTAAAAGAAATATTACTAAGAAGATCACTCTTTAATTGAAAATTCTGCTTGGAGTTGAGCCCTGGGATTCAATAATGAACTAAAAAAGAAAAAAAGTCTATATTTCATAATGTTAACTTTGCCTACCACAAAAAACATTTATTTTGGTCTCTGTAAAGAAGTCTTTCAAGGTCTTTAGTAATGTGCAATCCTGAACTCTGTTTTGCTTTGAAATCAGAAACCAGTGTCTGAAAGCTGATGATTTGTGATGATATTTTTTTATCATCACTATCAATTTTCAGTCACTGTGTTCTGATATTCTTTCCAATAAAGACAAATGTAGTCATGCTTTCTGAGAATCCTACAGTTGTCAGTTAAAGTGGAGAAGGTTACAAAAATATGTTTGCGAACTGCTTGTTTGGAATTCCTTGGTGAAAAGGAGTCAAAGTCCAGGTAAATCTTTGCTGGTACCACCAAGGAAACAACCACACCAGCATTCTTGGTCTTTACAACACATATTCTGTTTGCTATATATCAACAGAAATGTGCAGAAAAGGCTTAGGATTATTACGAAAGGGGTGGGAAGGTTGAGAACAGTCATTTTGCTTGATTGCACTTGCAATCAATACAATTTCTCAGTGATGGGATGGATCCTTACCATCTCAAAAATACTGAGACAAGTGAAATCACGAAAAGAAGTAAAGAAACAGCAGTGGTGGCGAGAAACAGGAAAATATGCAAGAATTTTATTCACATATATTTGGGCTTCATTACAATCAAGATGGGAAAAGTCCAGCTCTTCTTTCTCTTTCTGGAAAAAAGGTGGGGTGCCTTTCCTGGAAGTTTCTACAGGCAGAAAATCACCTTTTAAATAGGTACTGGGATCATCCTATAATGTTTTACCACCTGTTGTTGTTGTTCATTCGTTCAGTCGTCTCCGACTCTTCGTGACCTCATGGACCAGCCCACGCCAGAGCTCCCTGTCGGCCGTTACCACCCCCAGCTCCCTCAAGGTCAGTCCAGTCACTTCAAGGATGCCATCCATCCATCTTGCCCTTGGTCGGCCCCTCTTCCTTTTGCCTTCCACTTTCCCCAGCATAATTGTCTTCTCTAGGCTTTCCTGTCTCCTCATGATGTGGCCAAAGTACTTCAACTTTGTCTCTAGTATCTTTCCCTCCAGTGAGCAGTCGGTCTTTATTTCCTGGAGGATGGACTGGTTGGATCTTCTCGCAGTCCAAGGCACTCTCAGAACTTTCCTCCAACACCACAGCTCAAAAGCATCGATCTTCCTTCGCTCAGCCTTCCCTAAGGTCCAGCTCTCACATCCGTAGGTTACTACAGGGAATACCATGGCTTTGACTAGGCGATCTTTGTTGCCATTCTGATGTCTCTACTCTTTACTATTTTATCGAGATTGGACATTGCTCTCCTCCCAAGAAGTAAGCGTCTTCTGATTTCCTGGCTACAGTCTGCATCTGCAGTAATCTTTGCACCTAGAAATACAAAGTCTGTCACTGCCTCCACGGTTTCTCCCTCTATTTTCCCAGTTGTCAATCATTCTTGTTGCCATAATCTTGGTTTTTTTGACGTTTAGCTGCAACCCGGCTTTTGCGCTTTCTTCTTTCACCTTGATTAGAAGGCTCCTCAGCTCCTCCTCGCTTTCGGCCATCAGAGTGTGTCATCTGCATATCTGAGGTTGTTAATGTTTCTTCCAGCAATTTTCACCCCAGCTTTGCATTCGTCAAGCCCGCACATCGCATGATGTGTTCTGCATACAAGTTAAAAAGGTTGGGTGAGAGGATGCAGCCTTGCCGTACGCCTTTCCCAATCTTGAACCAGTCTGTTGTTCCATGGTCAGCTCTTACTGTTGCTACTTGGTCCTTGTACAGATTCCTCAGGAGAGAGACAAGGTGGCTTGGGATGCCCATCCCACTAAGAACTTGCCACAATTTATTATGATCCACACAGTCAAAGGCTTTAGAATAGTCAATGAAGCAGAAGTAGATGTTTTTCTGAAACTCCCTGCCTTTCTCCATTATCCAGCGGATATTGGCAATTTGGTCTCTCGTTCCTCTACCTTTTCTAAACCCAGCTTGAACATCTGGCAACTCTCGCTCCATGTATTGCTGGAGTCTTCCTTGGAGGATCTTGAGCATTACCTTACTGGCATGAGAAATAAGGGCCACTGTACGGAAGTTTGAGCAGTCTTTCGCATTTCCCTTTTTTGGTATGGGGATATAAGTTGATTTTTTCCAGTCTGATGGCCATTCTTGTGTTTTCCATATTTGCTGGCAAATGGCATGCATC